CGGCTGGTCGTTTTGAGAAATTAAGCTCTGGTCGGTGGCGTAAGATCTGGAACAGCTTCATAATATGAGTATCGACTTGCGTGCATGGTTGAATTCAGTTAACAGATGATTCAGAGTCAGATTTGGAAGGAGAAATCTAGTTTTGGAAGTTTAAGCGGCGAGAATTTGACTGGAACTTGACTTTGGAGTAAACGGCTCCGGAATGAGTTTGGATGATCTTAACAACTTCGTATGGTGATTTTGGACTTAGGCACGCGTCCGGATTTGGTTTTGGAGGTCCGTAGCTTAATTAGGCTTGAAATGCCGAAAGTCGAATTTTTGAAGTTTCCATTTCGATAGTGAGATTTTGATATCGGAGTCGGAATGGAATTCTGGAAGTTGGAGTAGGTCCGTTGTGTTATTTGGGACGTGTGTGCAAAATTTCAGGTCATTCGGGCGAGGTTTGATAGACTTTTTGATCGAAAGCGGAATTTGGAAGTTTTGAAATCCTTAGGCTTGATTCCGAGGGTGATTTGGTATTTCCGGCGTTGTTTTCCGAGGGTTGGTACAAGTTTGAATAGTGTTATGTGACTTGTTGGCATGTTTGGTTGAGGTCCCTGGGGCCTCGGGTGAGTTTTGGGTGCTTAACGGAAGTTGAATTGGACTTAGGAAAAATCTGAAGTTGGCTGAACCTGTCATAATCCCACCTGCGTGTATGGGAACGCAGGTGCGGCACCGCAGAAGCGATACGAGGATGCAGGTGCGGGCTAAGGCTTGAGTGGAGTTGGTCGCAGATGCGGCCCAAGGACCGCAGAAGCGGACCGCATCTGCGAGTTTGGGAGCGCAGGTGCGGAAGTGTGGGTTTAAATGAAAAGTCGCACGTGCAGTTTATTTTCCGCAGAAGCGGGACCGCAGGTGCGGTCCCATGGTCGCCGAAGTGGATTCGCTGGTCAGAAAAAGGGAGAACGAGGGTTTGAGCTCAAAACTTGGAAAAACGATTTGGAGCTCGGTTGAGGGCGATTTCTCGAGGGTTTTTGAAGGAGAAACATTGGGTAACGTTTTCTATCTTGATTTTGATCCTAGAACTATAATCTATTGTTGTTTCCTCTTCTAATTAAGGAAACTGGGGGTAAAAGTTTGGAAAATGGGAGAAGGTTTCCCCAATTGAAAATTCGAGTTTTGAGTGGGATTTTGACGTCGGATTTTGGTAATTTTTGTTCGAGTGTGTTCGTGAGTGATTGGGGGTTCTGAATTTGTAAATTTTATCCAATTCCGAGACGTGGGCCCGAGGGAATTTTTTGGGCGATTTTCTTAGTTTCGCGTGTTAGCTTCGAATTAATTAGTTGAATTAGTTACTTGAAGTTAATATTTACATTATGCAATTAATTCAAATAGATTTGGGCCATTTGGAGTCGGGTACTCGTGGCAAGAACGTGATTTCGAGTTGATTGAGTTGGTTCGAGGTAAGTATCTTGCCTAACCTCGTGTGGGGGACTTCCCCTTAGGATTTGAGTCTTCTATGTTGATTGTAGCTCGTGTACGCGAGGTGACGAGTGCGTGCTCGGACTTATTTGTGGAAAATTGGCCTTTTAGGGTTCTTAGGTCTTTATATTCACTGTGTATGAATATGTTCTTGGCATGACTGAGTTTCCTATTTACTAGTTTCACCTCTACATGCTTAATTGGAATTAATTGCTCCATGATTCACTCTTATTGCCTAATTGACTCCTATTTGATGTAATTGAAGAATTTCACCTCTCCTATTGCCATGCTATCTTTTCATAGCTGTTTGTCTTATTTGAGAATTTTTATTTTCCCTCCTGAAATTTGTTTAGTCTTAAGTGGAGCTAAGACCACCTTTCCTTAAGTTGAATTGTCGAATATCCTCGAAATTGTCCAACCTTAAAAAGAGTTTAGATAACCTATATCTTTGTTGACTTGCCTATATTTGGGACTACTCGACTCGTGTTGATTTTCTTGTTATTGACTTGTATATTGTCGGATCGTTGCTACTTGTTAGTTTTTCCCGTTGTTGAACTGTTCCCTTTGTGTTAATATTCTTTTCTGTGATTATTCTTTGTGAACTGGTTTTACCGCTTCCTTGTGATTTACAGTCCTTAAGTTGATTTACTTGTCTTACCTTGTATTATTGTTATTGTTGTGGTTATATGTATTGGGGGTGATGTACGAGCTTTCTATTGTGCTGTAACTGTTGTTCTCTATTGGTTGCGCTGCGTATTTATATTTGGGACTACGAGACGATATCCCGGGAGATCCCCCTGCATGTTTACTTTGGGACTACGGATCGGTATTCCGGTAGATCCCCCTGCACGTTTACTTTAGGAACTACGGGACTGCACCCGGTAGATTCCCCTGTACTGGATATTTACTTTGGGACTACGGAACGATATTTCGATAGATCCCCCTACATGTTTACTTTTGGGACTACGGGACTGCACCCGATAGATTCCCCTGTACAGGATATTTACTTTGGGACTATGGATCAGTATTCTAGTAGATCCCCCTGCACATTTACGTTTGGGACTTCGGGACGATATCCTGGTAGATCCCCCTGTTGCTATCACTGTGCTCTGAGCTGTTGTTTCCATTGATCCTATCCTGGTGTAAACATTATATGTGTTGTCCGTTATATTCCTTATACTTGCTAACTGGTATGAACCATGTTAGGGCACTTGCACAAGCATACACGTGTCTAAGCGCCCTTATTGGATAGGAGGCTCTTTGAGATTTCTGAGTATAGAAGTACACCCTTGTTATTTGCCTTCCATGCGAGAATGACTCTTTTGGGGCACGTGAGTTATCAGTATGATTAGGAGGTATGTCAAGGGCACAGGATGCCAAGTGTTAGGGGTCAGGTATGGAGACCCGTATTGTATGATTATCAGATGAGGTGTCACAGGGTAACATATATTCGAAGGATTTCTATTTGAAAAGATTATATTTGAATGTACTTATTTTTAATTAACTATTTTGAAATGTCACAGGGTGAATTATATTCGATGAATATTTGTTGAAAATATTATATTCGAAAAGCATTATTTTGAAAAGAACTATTTTGAAAAGAACAATTATTTGAAGGAAGTACATTTCGAACCATTTTTATCACTTGGAGGGCTTGACTATTGGATTGACGCTTACTGGTTAAGGCTTAAGGTGAAAACTATCGGGTTTGTTGAGTTATAACTTGTCTTTACTGTATTGTGATTTCGGATTTGGGTTGTACTCTCGTTTGCCTTTCAGTGTTTTCATTATGGTGTTCCGCTGAGTACTTGCTGTTTCCTTTGCTTATTGCATTTACTGTATTGTTAACCGCATCGCGTAGTCTCTATATAAATATCATGTTCTGTTTATCAGATCAGTAGGTGTCTGGACTGTTCCTCGTCACTACTCCATCGAGGTTAGTCTTGATACTTACTGGGCACCGCCGTGGTGTGCTCATACTACACTTCTGCATATTTTTGTTGTGCAGATCCAGGTATTGTTCGCTAGTAGCTGTGTGGATTCTTGTCGAGGAGACTCAAGGTAGCCCTGCTGCAGCGTTCGCAGGCTTCAGAGTCACCTTCCTATTTTATATTTACACTGTTGTACTTATTTCCATACGATTGTGTTTAGAAGTTGTAGCGAAACTCTGTAGAGCTTATGATTAGTACTACCGAGTTTTGGGAAGAAGTTCATTGTATAAAGGATTCTTTTCAGAAGAAGTTTAAATGTTATTATTTATTGTTGTTATTCCGTAATTATTAGGCTTACCTAGTCCTTAAGACTAGGTGCCATCACGAAACCCAATGGAGGGGAACTTGGGTCGTGACACCGGGGAATTGGAGGAGGAATAGATTGGCCACTAGATTCACCACTCTTGGATTTTTCTTATTTTTACTAAACATTTTTTTTAACAAAAAATCCATCTTAATTAATCAAACAATACAAAAAAGTAAATAAAACAAACAAAACTATAATATTAAAACTTAGAGTTGGAGCAAGTTTACCGAATTGACGAACAACTTGTTGAAAATTATATATCGTTGAAGACTTGAATACTTCAATTCACCAACTTCACAATTTTTCACAAATTGCAACAATAAAGTAAGCAATTATAGAAGAAAATTAGAGAGAGATTGAGAGATTGATGATTTTGTGAGAAAAATGAAAGAATGAGGGGGTATTTATAGTTGTAAATAGTTTAAAAGTGTAATTATAAAAAGTTTGGGGTTAAAACAAAGTTGGGGGGTTAAATGGCTTTAGAAATAGCAAACGGCTACTTTTGCAGGCCAACGACCATTTTTTAAACTTTTGTAACGGCTAAAAAAAATTCTGGAATTAAATTTTTTTTTAAAAAAAAATAGCTGTTGGGCCCGTAGGGCCCGTTTAGGACCGGGTGAACCGGCCCACTTAGCAGCTAGTCCCGCGCCCAAACGGTCCCGGTCTCGCGGGCTTTTTTCAGCGACCTGCCCACTTAGCAGCCCACTCCCACCTAGTCCCGGGCTTAAACGGTTAGGCCCGTTTAGGCCCACTACCCATTTGGGATCGCGGGCCTGGGCCGGGCCTAGGCCTAACTGGCCCACATGCCAGCCTTAGCAGAGGCAAACAAACACAAAGTGATTTCTTCCCCGCAAGCTGGCCCAGACAACACGGTAATTATTTATCTTTAAATATAGTACATGCAAAATGAAGATTTCTAATGTTGGAAGTACTTGATTTTAATTCCAAGGAAAGTGAGTGCATATCCTCAAAATTTGAGGTTTTCACCACCTTCAAATAATGGCTAGTTGGCGTTTCTTAATTCTATATGACCCCTCAATTGTTGATCTTATATTATTTGAAATGTTTTAATTTCTAAAATTGCCATCCAATTATTATTATAAGGACTAAGGACATTCTTTACTCTTTAAGTATATTAACGTAGCCTTCTTGTAATTTAAAGTATCTTTTGAACATCTCTTTTTCAATGATGAAATTGCTAAGCCATTAACTATGAAGCAAACATGAAACAAGAACTCCTGAACAATAGAAACAAGAAATGAACATGCAAAAGTTTAGCTGCTGTCTTCTTTGGACATCTGTGACCGAGTATTGGACAATAATAAACACTGCTATCAGACAACAAAAAAAAAACATTTATTTCCCCTTGAGGAAATGCTCCATTTCTAACTCACAATGAAGGTTATTTTGTTCTAAATGTTACAAATCAAAGCCAGCTTTCTTACACTATTGAAACAAGTTACTATACAAATAAAACTACACAAGTAGTACACTGATCCAATGCTTAAAACAGCATGGTCGTCTCAGTCTCGTTCACAAGCCGGGAACTGAATTTTTGTATTAACTGTATGGAAGCATGATCCTGTTTTACTATCTTCCAGACATAAGATTTATTAGACCTTGGTTTCCATAGAAAGATCCAACATCCCAATCTTCTGTTGACGAAGAGAGTGTCATCAGCGCAACCACTATTGATCTCATACTTGGCCTTATTAGAGGATTTTCATGGGTGCAAGCTTTGGCAAGCTGTGCCATCTGTAATGGAGAAGACATGAGACTTCTGTAAGAAGCAACAAGAAACAACTACCACAGTTATCAATTCAAGTTTCATTTACTCTTATACCTTGCGGACTGAATCAAGGGGATAGTCGTTTCCAAGTCTAGGGTCAACCAGTTTGCGAAGGTCTTCATCAGGTTCTGGCTGATTAAGTACTTCTTCAAACTATGATCATCAGAAGGAAAAATAGATATCAATATAGTGAAAAAGCAGGAGACAAGCAAAGGGAATGAAGAGCTTAGATATGGCCCTTCAAATAAAGGCTCAGTTCAAGCCTGTGAAAGGGTTCATGCAATCCTTATGCAATCCGTATCATTGAGAAAAGAAAATTGCAAAACGAACTTACCAAACCTACAAGACCCTTTGATTCAGTAACAGATTCATTTGGCTTGACTATCGCTTCCTTGGCTGAAATAAGTTCATATAGGACAACACCAAAAGCATAGACATCAACTTTAGGAGAGACATCGCCATACTGGGCATACCTGCAAAATAGCGTTGTGCAAATCCGTTACATAAGGCACTCAAAAATGCATTTGTTAAAAAAACACCAATTTAAGCTTTGTGCAACGTTCATAAAACATTGTTTAAGTTAGAACTACGCTTTTGCTCAGTGACCTTTATGCAAACAACTTCATTCCTACTTTTGAGGCTGCACTATAAAATGGAAAGCACTTACTCTGGAGGCATGTATCCAAAAGTACCAACAAGTCGTGTTTGCAAAGATGAACTTCCAACTTCAGTCAGTTTTGTTAATCCAAAATCTGCAACCTACACCAGAGATGATTCACACAATTACAAAAGAACCTTTCGTAATGTACATACATAGAAAAAGGTGCCTTGAAAAACCTTTGCATGGAAGTTTTTGTCTATCAGAATATTTGCTGTTTTAATATCACGATGAATGTAAACTGGTACGGTGTGCTCATGTATGTACTCAAGACCTCTAGCTGAATCCAGAGCAATTTGAACCCTAGTAGACCATGGCAATGGGTCCCTACCTGGAAATAAATTGATCAGATTGATTAAAAGTTCTTTAAGGGACCATCACAAACTAACGAAAAAGTGGTTAATTTTGACGTGTGATTTAGTTTACATTAAAACTACCTGTACCACGCAGATGTTGGCCTATGTGGCCATTCTCAACGTATTCATATACAAGGAAGAGTGAACCTTCGACACAGTAGCCTATCAAGCGCACCTGCACTCAATATCATTGGAAAGATAAGTCAAGCGTATATGAAAAGAAGGATTACACAATGTCATGAGTTTCAATAGCCCATCAGTTTAAGACTATTGAAGACCCTCGGACAAACTGCAAAACCCGATAACAAGTGTAACCAATCAACTGGAATGTCTGAGATGTAGCAAACTTTCTGCACTTACTTCAGGATATCAAATCAAGAAAAGTGGATTTTAATCATCTCAATGTGGTATCATATCCTTCCTGAAGTGTGTCATGCCCCACATCAAAACAAGACCCCACTCATCACATTATCAATTTATAATTAATCGACTTGTATTTAAGATTTTAGTTTCCCAAACACCCCTAGCTTTGGTGCTGTTCGCAGCACCTCTTTCTTTTGGTCCTTGTTTCTCTTCGGAGCACTCTATGTGCACTTCAAGTAATTTATTCAGTTGTAAATGAATGACAGATGGTAATAACTAGGTTACACTAAGTATAGGTTTCAAGGACCATTGCAAACATGAAGAACATTCTGGGGCAATCACTTGACTTATGCTCTATAATAGGATAGAGGTCTCAAGCAGCAAGACTACCAAGTTAATGAAATCAATTGGCTTACATCTGGATTAAAAAAAATTGGCTTACATCATCTGTTTCAATTTAGTTTATTGAATATATTGCTTTAGTATTGCGCACCCCCCCCCCCTCCCCCCCATTTGGTTGGAAGCCCTTCCACCAAATTATTCACGTCACTAAGTGACAAAGCAAGTTAAAACTTCTTAAGTTGCACTCAGTTGCCCTCTTCAAATAAAGCTTAGCCAAATTTTTGTGCTGACAAAGTACAATGCCAAAGAAGATTTCTGAGAAAAGATTCTCGTTCAAGTCCATTGATCATTCATAGTGCATAATATTACAGCTGTAGAACACTTGAAAACAAATAGAAATTATTAAAACCACCTACAATAATATTCTATGTAATGGAATCTGTTCTTTGTTCAGCTTTCTTTTCTTTTGAAAATGTCTTCTGGAGTGTGCTTCAAATTGGCAGTCAAGCCTGTTCTACAATATATTTCCTTGAAAATGTCCTATTCATATATTACTTTTATACTTCACATTTGCCTAGAATGATGCAGTATAACCATTAACACTGATAGTCGTTATCATTCACAAGTTTCTGCAAATTTATCAAGCAGCACTCCAAAAGAAGGGAAAACGGAGGTCTTTGGTTCCCTATCAACTAAGGCTACAACTATGCTAATTGTCCATCATTAAGCTATACCTAGTATCACCTCGTGTGCTGTCATGCTTGCATGCATAATTTTCATTATGTTCAATAATTGCTCTGAAATACCATTAACAATTGTCATTCAAGCTATAAGATGATTATCTAAACTGTTTATGTGAGCTGTTATGGCAACATCAAATGTGGATATGCAACAAGATGTGTCCTGAATTTGACATGGTAACAGCTAATGCAACTAAAATAACAAAAATCCTGATTAATAAGTAAAACAAAAGTTTCATGACTAATCCTCAAAAGAGAATGAGAAGAGCATCAAAAAGGGCATGCCTCGAGTGGTATGGAATTCAGTTTTTACCAGGTTCAGGTGATGAACATGTGTCAAGACCTTCAATTCAGCAAGAAACTCCCTTGTAGCTTCCATGTCCATTTTCTTAATAGCCGCTTTCTGAAATAGTTCACAGCAGCAAAAATATTGAGTATAAAGAGACAATTCTTTAAGTAGGTTTTATTTTATGGTTAAAATTTTACGTATAAGCATTACTAAAGAAAAATCTCGAGACATGCACCCACTGGAGAATGAAATCATGATTCAGTGTTGGCAGGATTAATATATATGCAAAGACGTTCATCCCGTGATGAATGTCAATGCATCACTAGAACATCACAAGATGAGTAAGCTATTCATTTATTTGTCGAATGTTCGTCTTCATTTGCCTTCCTTGCTCTTTGTTATTTCTGCTTTCTCTAGATTACTGTTTACCCACTTACTTCATTAGATCAGAACTAAACAATTTCACTTCTTTCATAACATAATAAGTTATACCAAGAAGTAAGATTTAAGAACATCTCAAACCTCGCCTCTGAGCTCGGCATAGTAAACCGCACCAAAACCACCTTGTCCGATTTTGTTAGCAATGCTGAAGTCATTAGTCGCAGTAGCAAGCTCTTCATAAGTGAACTCAACAGATTTATCCACCGTTATGCCTGAAAGCTCTGGAGAATTGCTATTAGCCAGGCGACTGGAATCTGCAGCTTTAACTATCGTGCTGCCCTCTGGGCCTAAGTCAGACAAAATTATAACATATAAGTTGACTAACTGACATTGTTTTCTACCATTCCAATAGTTGTTGAAAATTGGCAGCACATGTAAAGGAAATATTCAATTCCAGCGAATAAATCAACTACTTAAAACTGGATTTTCAGCTTTAAACTGATCTAAGCATAAGCATCTTAAGAAATACTGTACGTCAAATAAATGAATGTCGTAAGAACTAGAAAATAGGGATTGACACCTACCATGACTAGACTGATGGAGGTGGTCTTCGGAAGAGAGCAGCGAAACCTTTTGTGCTTTCTTCCTATAATATCCTACGTAAACCAAGCCAGCCAGCAGCAAGACTACTGCTATTGCTCCTATAGATATCCCAGCTATTGCTCCACCAGAAATACCTAATTATTTAGAAGTATAGAACGATAAGAGTAGGTAGCATAAAAGACTTCCTTTATTATCATGAATGGTCTGAGAAGGGATAACAACGAAGTCAGCATTGAAGACAAGGAAAGGTCCAAACCACCTGTGCTGCAAATAAGAGGGGAGAAACAATACAAATGGCAAATGTCAGGAATGTGCTAGTGGGTGGATGATCAATAGAGAACAAGATGACCAGATTATAACATCAAATACTAATGAGCTACCTTGTTGGCAGTGGCGGAAAGTTCCCACTTTTATCTGCAATATGAAAGAAATGATGGTTCAGACATTGTTTATACATTAGGAACATATGAAAAATGAAGAAATCATAGTAGTTACAAGCACTAAAACAACCAAGCCTTTGTACTTAAGGTGTTACCTCTCTCCAATTTTAGTTGGCCAACTTAGTCTATTCAGATATTGGAAAAAGAAAACATCAAAAGTATCATTACATAGAAGTGGGTCAGCTATTTAAAATATTAATTCAATAATAAGTAAAACGTGTGAAGATGGAGTAATTTGTCAAAAGATGCCATACTGAAGTTAAAAGTAATTTGATGCGTATCAGTTTCTTTTACTTTGAACTTCTGGTACTGAGAAATTTTAGCATCGTATGAAACAGGTCAAGGAATTGGGATGGATTAAAGAGGGAAGATTGATCGAGTAAACTATGGTCTTTATAGAGTATCAAAGATAGAAGCAAGCTCTTTTCGGACAATTTTCCAAGACACAAATTTGAATCAGGTTAATTTATAAACTCACTCTCTTTAGAGCACAGCAATATCCTGGCATTTATTGTATTCCCTTTTTTCTCTACGAAAGACTAACAAGCAACATGCTCGCGCTGTAGTCCTGCTCCCCTCAGCTACCCGAATAAGAACCAAAAAGAAATAGAGATCCTGCAAGCACTTTTCCCTTTCTTTTTTTTTTTCCTAGAAGAGGTTTTTTAGCATTCATTCTGAAGCCGTTGTGAGCCATAACATCCTCAAAAGCATGACTCTGCTCTTACAAGTGTTTCTTCTTGTTTTGCACACGTAATGTTTGATCTTTAGAGAACCAAAGTGGTTCTTAATAATGCTTGAAAGGCCTAGTTTGCGTTTCCAAAAAGCTAGACCTCCAGATAATTTACTATCAATTCACAGAATTAAAGAATATTCTACGTTTATTTCATCAAATTCTCTTCGAGGGTAAATGCAACTCTTAATCTTCGACATTTGCATTCCATATTGCATACATCTGCAGTCTGAAGAAATGATCCCAGGATGCAGATTGAAGAATGCTTAACCAGCTCAAAGAAGCCAAGCAACAGGAAACAGTTGTTCAATTGTGCTTCTGCTATCTGTGAATACTGGCTTGTTCTTGCCATTACAGCTCAGTGATAAACTCAGCTGGTATAGTTAGAATTTTGCTAATCAAAAGCATTAGCTAAATTTCATGGTGATTTTACATAATACTACTTCGCTTGCATTTTCTAGCCGCTATACATAGATATTACACACTGATTATACACATATTATACATATACGAATTACGACCACACATCCGCCAGTTATTTTTAGCTTAAACGGTTAGGTTAGCGGCTATTTTATTCTTTTAAAAATAATATCAACACTGACCTCTTCCCGGTATAAACAGGATCCCTCTACCGGTATCAAATTTGGAATCCACCCCTGGATTATACCTTCGGATTAAATCAGCACTCACATTGGTCTCTGAAGCAATGGACGTCAAGTTATCCTCAGGCCGCAAAGGATACGTCACAAACAGCCCAAAATCTTTAGAAACATCTTTATTCCCACAGGAACAATTCACAACCACGTTTAAGGTTGCATCATCAGGAATATTATTCTCAGGATGGCTATTAAACTTCATCAACCACTCCGAAGTTGTCAAATCGGAATAATTCGTCGCAACCTGACCATAAGTATCTCCAGATTTAACCTTGTACGGAAAAACATGACCTAAAAACTCACCGTCCAAACAATCACAACTAAAGGGTATGTTAATTCTTGTCCCAGCTATGACACTGTCCTGATTTGGGATATTATTGTTGTTGTTGTAATCTACGATTTCTTTTATACTGGAGATTGAAAACAATTCTGCTATGTAAGTGAGATTTGTCCCCCGCCAAACATAGAATGAAGCTAAAGCTAAATCGCACCCTTTGTTGCATTTTGACTCAACTGGTAAAGGAATTGAGGATAAGTAAACTAGGATTAGGATAATTCCTAAGCTTAAAACACTTCTTGGTTTGGATTCAATCATGTTTCATGAAAACATATGAAATTTTCAGAAATGGGTTTTACAGGAATGTGTTCTGGGAAATTTTAGCTGGGTTTTGGAGTAAGCGTTGACTAGGTGTTGATATAGTTTAGATTAAAAATCTTGTAAATAATTGAATTGGTCTGTAGTTAATTTAAATATTCCAGACTGTATTATACTACTACAGCACATTATTTTCGGTTTGGTTTTTTAATGTTTGGGAATAACTATGAAACAATATTGTCGTCAGCGCAGCTGTCAGGAAGTTAAAGAAAACCGTGTTCAGACGGGTTTTAGGAGACAGTCTTCTATTGTGGCCTTATGTAGCGTTTAATGTTGGGAAATCTCAACCGTTAGATTGATAGAAGTTTCAATCGAAACCGTTGATAAAGAAGATGGTCAACTCCAATTTTAGCGGGCGTTTGGACATAAAAGTTGTAAAATTTTGAAAAAAGTAACATTTTTGAAAAAATAATATTTGAAAATTAGAGTTATGTTTGGACTTGAATACTATTTTGGGCTGTTTTTGAATTTTTGCGAGTGATCTGAAGTGAAATTTTGAAAAATAGTTTTTTGAAGTTTTTCAAATTTTTAAAAAATTCCGAAATTACTCTACAAGTGAAAAATTAAAAATTTTATAGCCAAACAATGATTTCGAAAAAAGTAAATTTTTTTGGAAAAAAGTGAAAATTTATATGGCCAAACGAGCTCTTAGTTTGACAAATGTCAAATTCTACTTGTATTATACTTAGTTTTTCGTTAATGTCTGGTTATTTGATTTGAGCTAAAATGATTTTTGATTTAAGTAATTTGATTGTGTGTGAAATTTTATATACACAAAAGTCATACTAGAGTAGATATGCATCTCAATCTTCATTAATTTCATAGTTCATTCTAGTCTTTAGTAAGTCAAGCTGTCAAGGTATATCTTGAAAGTAGGAGTTTGATTTATTCTTTTTCATATCCTTAAGTCATGTTCATATTAATTATTGGGCGAGAAAAAAGATTGTGAGTCACTTGAAATATTTTCGTTAATTAATTCTTGAAGTAGTTAATAAATAAAAATTAAGCCTTTAAAATAACAACTTTCCCTTTTTTTTTCTTTTCCTTAAGGGTGATAATAATTGCCAATTTCACTTGCTTATAGTAGGAATGATTCAATTCCCGCCTAAAACTCACCTTTTTTCTTCCCCACATAATTTCAGTTTACTGGTTAAAGTTTAAAATTTAATGTTTCTTGTAATTTATCATAGTATAACTAATTCTCCCTTGAGCACCCGTCCCATTTATGTGAAATATTACAATTTAAGGAGCTAAACTATCTTCTTCTTTTTTTCTTGTCATGATTTTCTAGATCTCTTTTTAAGTATTTTGAATTATTAGCCATGTTGATTTATACTTACTTCTTATTGTTCTTCACAAAATTAGGATAGGAGAATAGCGATTGGAATAGATCTTAACAAATATTTTGTATGTCAATGTTAACTATAAGAAATAGTATATTTCTATGGCGTGAAAATAGCGTATTGATGAAACAACATATAAAGAAACAAATAAGAAAGGGCAAAATTTTCTTAAGAATCAACCTAAAGCTACACGTTTAAGGTTCAAAGGAGACATAAAGCTATATAACACATAAAAATTAAACCATCAAATTGCATTAACACCTAAAACAGGAAAAGACCATATATAATTGAGGGCATTGAAAAATATCAATACTAACCTCTTCCAGGTATAAACACAATCCCTTTCCCAGCACTGAAATTCGCTCCTGGATTATAACTCCGGATTAATTCAGCACTGACATTGGCCGTGGAAGCCACGGCCGTCAAGTTATCCTCAGGCCGCAAAGGATACGTCACAAACAGCCCAAAATCTTTAGAAACATCTTTATTCCCACAGGAGCAATTCACAACCACTTTTAAGGTAACATCATCTGGAATATTATTCTCAGGATGGCTATTAAACTTGTTCAACAAATCCACAGTCGTTAAATCCGAATAATTCGACGCAACCCGAGTATAAGTATCTCCAGATATAACCTTGTACGGAAAAACATGGCCTAAGAATTCACCATCCAAACAATCACAACTGAAAGGTATGTTAATTCTTGTCCCAGCTATGACACTGTCTTGATTAGGTATGTTGTCATTGTTGTTGTAGTCGATGATTTCTTGTCTAGTAGAAATGGAGAATAACTGTGATATGTGAATAAGATTTGTCCCCCGCCAAACAAAGAATGAACCTAAAGCTAAATCGCACCCTTTATTACAACTGGACTCAACTGGTAAGGAATTGGAGGATAAGTAAACTGTGATAAGGATAAAACCTAAGCTTAACACACTTCTTTGTCTGGATTCAAACATGTTTCATGAGAAAACACATGAATATTTCAGAAATGACTACACAAAAATGTATTCTGGGGAATTTTAGCTGGGTTTTTGGAGGAAGCGCGTTTGACTCTGTTTTGATAAAAGTTAGATTGAAAATTACTTTAAAAAAATTTGAATGATTGAATTGGTCTGTTGTTAACATTCTGGATTGTATTAAACTACTAGTATAGTATATTATTTTCTGTTCGGCTTTAATATTTGGTAGTATTTTAATGAAAGGATATTGTCGTTGTCGCAGCTGTCAGGAATTTAAAGAAAGTCGTGTTTTAGCTGCTTTTGACATATAATCGCATGGTTTTGGGAGATACTTCTATGGCGGCCTTCTGTAGCGTTTACTGTTGGCAAATTCTTAACCGTTGGATGATAGAAATTTGAATCGTAGCCATTGATGAGAAGGTCGTCAACACCCATTCAAGTTTGACCAAAGTCAAATTCTACTACAAGAAATTTCTACGTATTATGTAGTTTTTGTTATTGTCTAATATTTCATTTGAGCAAGAAAAAATTTAAGTTTATTTGATTGTATGAATATTTTTAATACAAAAATATCGTATTAGAGTAGATATATAGCATCTCAATCTTTAATACTTTCAAAATAGCCCGCACTTTTGTTTTCATTTCTATACCTATTACCATGATTATTCTCCAAATCAAAGAGTACTAACACAAGTCTATTATTATTATTAGGTTTTTAAGAATATAAAGAAATTAAAGAAGAAAAGATCAAGAACTAGACCTTGTACGTATTTATTTATTTATTTATTTGTCTATTTAGTGAAATTTTTTCAAAGTCCTCTAGTTTGAATTTCCAGGTCTAATATATTCTAGATGTTGCCTTTATTTTGAATTTAATTACAGGTTCAGTTTTTCACTTTATGGAAAACGTATAAATATAATCAACCTCATTAAAGTCCTCTTCGGCCTAATTTTTGGAGCTATATATTTGTCAATCGTCTGGCCTTGAGCTAGTACGTTTGGACAAGTCTCCTCCTTCTTCCTTTTTTATTTTGT